TTTTTTTTTTTTTTTTTTTTTTTTTTTTTTTTTTTTTGTTTAAGTGGTACTTGCAACATGAACCTTTTTAATGTAGTTTAATTATTTTTCAGACAACCATGACTATGTTATGAAAATTGGATGTACTTTTATTTATGTATGTATGTTAATGAAAAATGAAACCCTCGAGGTTATTGGTGGTTATACCTACTGATGATATTATGCAGAAAGTTCATTTTATCTTTTATTTATCTTTTTTTTTTTTTGCTGCAAATCTGAGTTGAAGATTAGACTACACGACTTCACGTCTGCACACTGACTGCAAAGTGTTCTAGATTGGACTACAGGGGCACATGACATTTTGTATGAGTTTTTTGCCGTGTCCTTGAATTATTTCCACCTCATACCGGTTGACACCAAACTGCAGAATTGGCGTGTTGTAGTTCAAATATTGCCCTTCAATGTAAGCCCTCCAAAATGCCATTGGGATCACCTAAAATAATGTTATAAATATAATGTAATTTTTGAGCCCTCCAAAACGACATTGTACTTCACATATTTTATATCATTTAAACTAACTTGAGGAGTGTTCACATAAACCTTTTACTCCCTCTGTTTCTTTTTGGGTGTCTTTTTAATTTAAAACTTCTAAATTACTATTTTTATGGGTTATGGAAATATCTTATCTACTATCCTCTTAAATTTAGTGGTTGAATTATTAATGGGTCATTTTTAAAGATAATGATAAGAGAGAAAGTTTTTAGGTGATTTTTTAAGATTTGTTAAAGAGGATAAAGTTGAAAGAATGGATAAAATATTTTCAATAACAACTAATTTGCAAAAAAAAAATTGATATCCTACAACGACATTTATAAAAAAAAAGGAGTATAACATTTAAATTTGAAGTGTTCACATATTTTATATTTAAACTAACTTTAGGAGTGTTCACATAAACCTTTTATAACATTTAAATTTGAAGTGTTCACATATTTTATCAGTTCGGTAACCGTACCGATATCACCCCTAAATTACTGTGAACTATGAACACACACACACACACACACACACACACACACTCAAAATAAGCCCTCTTTCTCCCCAGGTAAAGGCCGTGTCGATCAAACTATCTCCAGCGACAATCGTGCGCTGGTTGCATCAATACATTAAGCAACACCTTCTTCCCGACCAAAATCCCCAGAAGGTAAGTTGCGACTCTTATGGCTATTAAGTGTGATGCTACGAAAGTTATTTGAAACTTCTATTTAGTTCGATTCATTGCTATCTCCAACGGCCTAGGGTTTTCAAAAAATAAAACCCCTTTGTCAATTTAATGGTTGCTATTTGGTTATATTTAAAATGAAACAAGTATTTCACCTTTTTAAGAATCAATATTATATCCAATTCATCAAAGTTAGGGATTCGTTTGGTTTGCTGTCGCAAGAATTCGACAGATTTTATTATACCCAATCGATATTAACTGATTTTATTTCTATATTTTTTGATGGTTTGAACTTAAAATTCCCTGAAGAATGGCCATGCATTGTCCTATGAATAATTGTTTTGGTAGAAGAAGCATAGTGTGTTGCTGAATTTTGAGTGAAAATTTTGAACTTCGTAATGAATTTTGTAAAAGCTTGACTGAGTAATTGTTGTTTTTTCTCATTCTCTTGTTATGGTTTAATTTTGGTTTAACTTAAATGTGAAATCGCATTTTCGCATTCCTTTTGTGACTTGATAGAGGGATCACAGTGTTATAGAGGTCTATATCATTCATTATGCAATGATGTATGGAAGATAAACATCGGAAAACAAATAAAGTAGTTACAACCATAAGATAAACACAATGATGTTATATTGTTGGATTCAAAAGATTCAACGAACACTTTAATTAATCTTGATATATTTGAACAGTCTGGTGTTGATCTTTGTTGTTTCCTTTCAGAGTTCTTGCAAGTTGTAAGAATTCAATATGTTTAACTGCAATAAGATAAAGAAATATCGTTGGGTTTTTTGCCCTACATCTTTGATTGCTACGAAGAGTACTGTTTTATTTTGTTTTTAGGCCACTTTGTATCAATGTTTGGTTTAGCTGAGTGGAAAAAGATTCAGGACTACCTCGATCGACAGGGATGAAGCAAATACCAAGAATGGGTGTGCTTTGATGAATACTTTGGCCTTTGTCGAGGACGAAAGGACCTCCATTTCCCTGGTCTCATGATGGGCATACTTGTGGAAGTCTCGCGTAAATTATCTCTCCGATTCAAGAAAAAAATATCTGCAAGGAAGGTGCAAGAATGGATTATTTGACTCCGAGATGTGTATTATCTCTTTGTTGAATACACTTTGATTCCCGGAGTTAACCTGAACAAAAGATGGGGATCTGTGCTTCTTGATCATAAACGCTACCTACCTGCAATTCACCAGGTAACGTATTTTATATTTTTTACAACTCTTTATGATTTTGGTTGTATTTTTAGATCTGATAAACCTACAATCATATTTGGTTCAGGAAATAGCAGTGCACAAGTATTTTCATCGAAATGGATTCCCTAGGTATCAACAGTGTGCCTGGGTCTTCCCGAAACTCAGAACATGGCCGGTCCCTTATCCTTTCTGGACGAGGCACTAACCGAGTCTTTGGTGGGTTCTTGTAGTGCTGGTGCTGAATGAAATTTGGTGTATTTTGAATTATCTAGTGGATAAAACTGTTGTTTTAGTTACTTTTGTTAATTTGGTGGGTCTCGTGGACAAAACTAGTGTTTTAAGTCTTGGTTGATGTTTGTTTTTGGGTTGTGTAAGTTGGATGAATGTATTAAGAAATCTTCTTTGTTTTGGGGACTTGTATTAGAACATTTAACCTTGTATTAGAACATTGCAATGAACTTTTTGTTTTGTCGTATTGTGTAATTTGGCAGGCAAAGAATGCGATTTTTTAAAAAATATGTATGATGTTGCTTTTTTTTTCTCCCTCAAAGCTTTTTCAATTTTAATCTCTAATTGGCTCCAAAACAGAATGTTGCTGTCCTTTTTCTTTCGCAAATCAATAGCTTCTTTTTCCTTCCTTAGCTCTCTTTTTATTCTCTTTACAACCAAATCTCCACCAAATCTTCTCTCCCATCTTTTGTTTTCTGCTCCTTGTGTGTTTGTGTAGATTTACATGCAACCAAAATGAGTCCCAATATGAACTATACTTACATCCTAAAAATTAGTTTGTCATTTATCTATCTAAGTGCAAGGAGTCATAGATTAAATTCTGATTCCTTGTATGAAATGTCATTCAAAAAGATGACATATTAACACAACATAATTGTATTTATCTTCTTTAAGTTAAAAAGAATATATTCCAATTCTAGTCCATTTGTTTTTTTTTTTTTTTCTAAAAAAAACATGGTAGAACATCCAAGATTTGATCCTTTGAATTGTGTTAGGTAGTATCTATAAAAAGTGCACAACTCTTTGATCCAAACTCCACCATACGAACTCACATAAAAATAAATAAATTTGTACCTCTTGTCACTTTTGAACTAGGATGGCTCCAACCAATAAGCTTAAGGGTGCAATTTCACAAGAGAAGGAGTTTTACACCAAAGAGTGGACCAAAGAGGTTGAGATAGTGTTTGTGGATTTCTTGAAAGATCAAAAAAAGAAAGGCTTTTACGAGGTTGGGAGAATCAACATGCACGCCCTCATGTGCGCATCGAGCATGATCAACGAGCGTTTCGGTATGAACTTTGACCAAAAATTTATCACCGACCGGCTTTGAAAGCTCCGGAAGCGATATCACGTCTTCAAGTGGATGAAAACATTAAGTGGTATGGTGTATAATCCCGATGGCCATAAGGTGGAAGCTACTGAACCGACTTGGAACTTCATTGTGCGTGTAAGTGAAAAATATTTTCTTGACCAATCTTATTTTTGCAAGTTTAAAAATTAAAAAATATCACGACCTTACAATTTATTTTTGCCACAGAAAGAAAAGCTAGGCATGGCTTATATGAAAGGAGGTGAACCACTCTTCCCTGATCTGAAGGTCCTATTCAGCGAAGGTTCGGGAGACGAGAGTGAAAATGACGAGCATGAAATAATAGACATTGCCTCAGATACTGATGATGGAGATAATGAAGATGACGGTGACCATAATAACTCTCCAGATCCTTACTTGCCTCTTGAGAATGACTCTGACAACACAAATAATTCATTTTGGAACGAATTGGCATGGTACAACTCCAACAATGCTAGTGGATCCACCATACCTGACCCCGAGCATCCTCCTAGCAAACTATCAACTACCGAGGATGCCTTACGCAAGTATAACCGTCACTGGGCTGACTACGATTGGAGCAACAAAGGCAATTACGTCGATAATATCCCGAACAGCTCCACTGCATCATCTTCTCTGTTTAAGAATTAGTGGAGATGGTATTACAACTAAGGTGGCGAGCGATATGGGTGAGTAGTCTTTAGTTTCTTGCATTCAATAATGTTTTCGTGTGCTTTGGTTCTCTCTTCGGGTGTACACGAGTAAGCCTGTAAGTTTGAAGGACTTGGTACGACTAATTACCTCCTTAAATTCCTTAATTGGTTGTAGTCAAATGAGGGTGGAGTTTAGTCAAACGACGGTGGAGTTAAGACTATTGTAATAAGTCTCGACGGTGTTTCATAGGTCTTTTATTGGTTTATCACTGGCCGGCCATTTGTTTCGGATTACTTTATTGTGTAACATGTTTGTTGTTGTGTATTAATAGATCGTCGTCACGCCGCCTTGGCTATTTCTTATGGTTATTTTTGTTTTTTCCTTATATATATATTTTATGTAAAAATTTTAGTTTTTTTAACCTTATGGAATGTAACTTACACTACATAGTCCACAATAAACTCGACACTTCATATTACATTCATCATACTTGGCATGGAAACCCTTTGCACCTATTGCTGTTAAATTTTGTGATACCCTTTGCACCTGTTGCTGTTAAATAAGAAAGGGATAGAAACCTTAAGCAATTTCCATTCTAAGACATATGTAATATATTCCATGTAAAACCATAGAGAATCTTACATCAAGTAATAAAACAATATCACATGCATGCTGAATGTCACAAGGTAGCGAATCACAAATCAAAAAACAAAAGACCATCCAAATATCATTACAGGATTCCAACAAAGGTATCAAATCACCTCAATTCAAACACCACATATGAATGTCTAAAAATAAATTCAGCTTCCCAAAAGTCACTCCATCAGTACGATATTAATTAAAACACAAACGCAAAGTAGAAAAAATTATAACATCAGTGTTAAACTGAAGTCATTAGTACAGTAGCACACCTCAAAACCAAGAGAACATAACTTTAAGAGTTAAATGTTTCCAGCTAACTTCATACGAACAAATTCAGCGCGTGCCTGGACTCTGAGACTTAAAAAAAATCCATTTCATCTGTGTTTTTCACCAATATTTTGGAAACGAGTAGCTGCTCCTGAAGGTTCAGACCTTCAATCCCGCAAACAAAAGAGAACACATCCTTACGAGCACGCGAGATGCCGTAATCGTACCCAAGCCGAGTTGCAATTTCCATCAACCTCGTACTTGTGTTTCCAGAGAATGATTTCATAATTTCACATAATGGATCAGTAGATTCAGATGACTTGCGCTTACAACCAGTACTTTTTTTAGTCCCGGCAGATGATTGGGGGTTACTCTCCGACATTGTGTCGTTGAAGTCTTCAAGAGTCCCGTAGTTTATGTCATTCATGTCTTCTGGCTGACTATCTGGACGAGCAGATCCTGACAAGTTCACGTTGCTAACCGCCTCAAAGATGTCCTCAACCTGCTGTCCCGTCGCTCGATCCTTCCCGAATATCTCAATCCAGTCATAATAAAATGACCAACTTTTGCAATGCATCAGACGTGCATTTCCATCAATCTACAAAGCAACAAATCACAGAATATAAGGTAAAATAATTAGTCGAACTTAAGCACACAGAGCCAATTTACAATGGGCCTACAATACATAGTAGATAAGATTATCTAACTTTTACATATTCAGCCTAAGCGTCATCAGTTGTTTCAATCATCATTTCGGTTTCGTTCCATCCAATTCCACTTCTAGACAACATAGTACATAAACTACCATAATCTTTTTCCAAACATGAATTTTGGAGTTTATGTGTGGCATACCTCGCAAATCAGTACCTGGTATTGCTTTAACCAACTCTTGTTCAAGAACATTCAAAAAGCCCATCTTAAAACCATTTTCAGATTTCCATCCACTTGCGACAATCCCTTTCAAAGCTGCAATCAGAATCTCTTCTTCTTGGCGACTCCAACTACGCCTACCCTTGTCTGGCTTTGAAGGTCTAGATTTTAGATTGATATTTCCAGACGTATTCATTTTTGCTAAGAAAGAATCCAAATAAATAAATAAAAAGCATCTAATATGAGTGCGAGCGAAATTTGCACAAGAGCATTTGATCACAACATACACATCAGCATTATGAATAACATTTCAACACTTTAACCAAAATTAGAAGTTTCATCGGATATTAATAACCCATATGCTATTATCAATTATTCCAACCAATGTATCAAATTAATCCTCCTAAGAATAGCTCAAAGTCAAACAATACATCTCCACTCGTTGAACATCGAATTAGCTAATTGTCTCTCCAGTTCGACCACTGATCGGATGGCTCAACTGCATCAATGAAAGAGGGGTCTTCATCTTCAGCTTCACTGTTTCCTTCATCTTCTCCAACCATGCTTTCCATTAGATCCACCGGCAGCTCACGACGAATAAAATTATGAAGAAGGATGCATGCCATGATCAATCTATTTTGAGTTTTAATATCATAAAATGTAGGACTACGAAGAATCGCCCATCTTTTCTTTAAAATTCCAAAGGATCTTTCAACAACATTCCTTACTTTCGAATGACACATGTTGAAAAATTCCGCTGAATTTTGTGGTGTTAGTCTCCCTTCCCCCAATCTTTCAAATGATACCTAACACTCTTGTATGGGGTCAAAAAACCTTCACGTTTATATAACCGTTATCACAAAGGTAGTAGTTACCTACACAGAACATAGTTATTTTTATCATTATTGGTATATTAATCCATGGTAGTGAATGACCAACATCTTAATAACATTTTTAGCTACTTTATATTACCTCGAGGTATTTTTAACCCGTTGGTTCGACTTACAGCATCTTTTAGCACATGACAATCAGCGGAAGAGCCTTCCCACCCACATAGAACATAAACTAAATTTAGATTACTGTCAACTACGCCTAGAACATTTACTGCAACTTCACCCTTTCTTGTTCAATAGCGTGGCTTATCAGTTTCCGTCACTGTGACTCTAATGTAAGTGACATCTAAAGCACCTAGACACCCCTATGAAACGTGCATCATCGTTAATATTTCCAAAAATGGACAAATTTTTATTGATAAAGAATCTCAAAATAAGATATTACAAAATTACCTTGAACCACCTCCATCTGTTGTTATTAAGGCATGAATCATCTACGGGTTCTGGTTTCACTAGAAGCATAGAGTGGAGACGCAAAATCGCACATAAAACCTCATGCACATATATGCTGACAGTATGACTAGACCTTTTAAAATCAAATTTTACAACTTTCATCTTCTTATGGTGAGCTATGATGGATAAAAAGAGTGCCACTTTCTCCGTAAGGGTAACATATTTGGCTCCAGCATCGCGAAGAATATAGCAACTGAA